TTTAGAAACTATGGCTTGATCTCATTTGGATACATAAGCTCATAGAATTAAGTTTCACACAGGCCAATATATTTTCAAAACACTGTGGATTACAAGATTTCAACAATGAGGATATAACCAGATAAGTGGCACCACATCGGAAAAATGCCTCGACGTTCCCACCCCTATTATCCTGCGTTGGCTTCATTTTGTGCGTGATGATGAGCTTTTGGCTTTTAACTGTAGAGGATAATTGAATCTAAAATTTTCATGACGCTAACTGAAGCCAACACACTGAGAGGAAACAATGAGAGTGAGAAAGATAAAATAAAGGAAATGAATCAACAGTTGTCATGGGTGAGATTGACAGACAAGGATAGCTGAAGAAGAGAACAATGAAGAAAGTGAAGCAGAGGACTGAGAACAGCGTGAGTTAGTGTGAGTGGTCGAGTGGAGCAGGATTGATTATTCAGGTCTCACCAGGCAAGAGGACTGGATGGTGAATTGATGATTGGGTTGATGTGAGTATGGGCTGAATTGAGTTGAGGTTGGAGTGGTGATGAATTGAGTCGAGTGAGGAATCAGAGAGAATAATCGGATTCAGGATAAAGATGGATGACAAGAAACAAAAATAGAAGAAAACAATGGGAAAGGAAATCACAGAACTGTCACAAGAGAGTTGATGGAGAAAAGGAAAGTAGACCGGAATTCCAACAGTGTATGGATGCCTTAAGTCATTTAGTTTATCTATAGTATAGTCTCATAGTATTGGATTAGCAGCAGTATGCGTGAAAGTTGACAGTTAACAAGTCTGTTGGGGAGTAACACTTGCATGTTATATAGTTCTACACCAGCCCATTTAGTGTCCAATCCAATATCACCTCCAATTGTCAGTGATATTGGCTTGCGGGGGAGTGATACCTGTACGGGGGAGAGCTGTTGCCCGCTACGATCATGTAGTTGGGTGGTACCTCTTTTAGCCTCCCAGGGCATAACACAACCCACATTAACCAGGACATACTCAACCTAGTTTGGCTTTCTCACACTGCATAGTGAAGAAAACACATTGAACTTGAGAAAACCCACTTTCATTCATTATTTTAGCATTTAACATATTGTATTCCCTATTGACTTTGACATCCTTAAGTAGATCAGATTGGCCCCCAAAAAAACTCATCAAGTACATCAGTTTCGAAGTGCACCATGTATATCCATGTGATCAGACTGCCATTGTGTCCTTGTTGTAGGATATTTTGGCTGTCATGACAGCAAAGAAGGCGGTCATGACTAGCCAAAGGATCTCATGACTAGCCATTGAGTGCTATGAATAGCAAAAAAGGCGAAACAGCCACTAGCTTATTGAAGGTAAGTGCAGCGAAAAAATCAGTAATCCAACTCCAAATGTTTTTCAGGGAATTCACAAACTTGACAAAAAGATACATCCTATATCACCTCGGGCCACGTAGCTTTTGCCTCGGAAGCTGGAACATTTCTGTTGCTAGATTAATTGACAATGCTTTCTGGCGCGAAGTGTCACAAGCAGACCAGCTTTTATCATTTACACTATGTGAGGTACCACTTCGAGATCTGAATTCCTGACAAAAGCCATTGATCGAATTTACAACATAATCCTGTCTGGGCTTCCCTTGTCCAGTTCGTCTTCTTATCTTGAAGTAAACTAGTACTAGACTAATCCTCCTACCGAAATTAATGATAGGACAAAAGGTGAATATAGAACACTGAAGCTTCCCAGAAAATTGTGGAACTATTCGCATGTCAAGTCTTCGGTTCGAAGAAAAAAGAAAAGTGGCAAAGAGGAAGAATGAAAAAGAAGAACAAGAAAGGAAAACAGCAAAAAATCAACGAGGCACCTGTCCCCGTACACGGCATCAACGATCCAAATTATATCCGGTTCGAAGGACATCCTTTTCGACCACGTGATTTCAGGCAGAATGACTAGAAAGCGACCTGTTTCGAATCCACAGGGCACTTCTTCTCGTGGCGTGTGAGGTTGGCGAACGTGGAGAATGAACTACCGCACGTTAAACAGCGATTGCCTAAACATGAAGCGTATCATTACGTTCCAGATGAGCACACATCTTAGCACACAAAATGAACTCGCTTCTAGCACGCACGTTCCTTTTCTTGGGAATGGTTAAGACTCTTCTGGATAACAGGGGTTTCGTTTGTAGAAGAACACGCCGAATCATGAAAAGCTAGACATGAATAGCGAGCAGAACACGATTGAATTTGAGTGATTAAAATTTTATCATGCACCAATCATTCACAAAATTTGGAACATACACGAATATAAATTTATTCTGGAAATTGCACCGCGCAAGACCAGGCGAAAAATCAAAGCAGGTATGTGCAATGAGTTTGACTTCAAAACTTCTTGATCTGTGTTTGAACACTTACTTGTTACTTGCTTTGGTCCCTCTGTAGTTAGCATCCGCTAACGAACCCGGGCTTGGAAGTGCAGGCATAGCTTTGCGAGTCCAGCCGGCCGCATCGGGGACTCGGTTGGGCTCGTCAATCTGCAAGTGGATGCACGCATTAGCCTGTTAACTGAGCTCATCGTTTTACATTGGGATCGAAATTTTCCCTTACTCGGGAAGGTGTTTGGCGGTGAGAGGCGCATACCATTCGTTCTCGGGAAACACGGGGAGGTGGAAGGTAATAGGGATTGAAATGAGGGCCTATTGTTGATGAAGCTCCTGATGAACGCTCAGCAGTGCGCGGCGCAGGTAGGCAGAGATAAATTGGTGGTAGCGGCACGGGTAATTGTGGGTTCATAGGGTGAGGCAGTGGGAGCCGCTTCCATGGCCTTAGACGAGTCAGGTCACCTATGTCTTGATCTTTTTGCTTCGCAAGGCAGATTCTGGCAAGCGGGGCTTGGGCTGGATCGGTGCTTTGAGGACGTGCAGGTGACAGCGGTGGTGATGGAAGGACTGGATTGAGAAGCTTGCGCAGCGAGGATGGCAGCTGATGCTCTTGAGCACACTGAGATACAGAAGTGAGGGATTCGGAAGAAGAAGGGCGATCATCATCTGAATCGGAGTAGAAACGTCCGATTGGATGGTGCATAGTCGATTGTGTGATCGGCAACCAGTATGAAAAGGAGGAATATGATTCTGGGTGAGTGACTCAATTGACAAGTGAAGACAGTGGAGGGGGGGGGGGGGGGGCGAAAGAGCTAAATTCTCTCTGTGGGATCGGTGACGCGGTCTTTAAATAGTGACAGTGCCTGTGTGCTCGGGCGGTGGAAGAGGGCCACCGGTCAAGGAAGTAACTGCAAAAGTTTACACTTCAATATATTATCTTTCCGTCTTCAGAGGAGTTTGTTGATGAGGGTTCAAAATTTCAGCTATGGGTTTGAGTGCTCAGGGTCATCGCGTTCCAATTAATGCATGGACAAATTGACAATCTGATGAGACAGCCTGTCGGATTTCATCGGCATCCACATCGGCGACAAGATGAGTGGGTCCAGATATTTTTGTAAGTCAATACATCGCGATACAAACAAGTTCCAAACGTAGCCTGAGATTGTTTATTGAGTTTCCAAAGACCTTCGAGGAGTTCTTTCTACACGCCATATAAACTCTGACTGGCGATCTCCAGAAAGGCCATCCGCTTCAGGAGAAAAAAGTTGACCGCTCTGCAAAATCAGCAACATATTTATCTATAGCATTGTGTGTCGTCAGAGCCGCTTGGTATGTGCATTTTCAACCAACTCCCTTTGCCATCCGTCGTAACCCAACCAGCATCTGAGGTTCCGCTGGCCATTTCTGTGGGAATTGTGGACAAATCTGAGAAAGGGATGTGAGTCCAGGACTAGATGTGGATAGAGCTTGAGAGAGGACCTCGGCCTGTCTAGCATCATCATTAAAAGTTAAATTAGCCCGGCAGATTGTGTGATGATGTACCCGAGATGGTCTGCATGTAGATCTTTGATGAGAAGCAGGATGCTGATGGAGCGGAATCAGGTGATAGCTTCTATAGAAGGTCGGAGACGAAGGAACTTGAACTGGCATCAAGCGTGAAGATACACTTTGGTTGCGGGATGTATCTGAGTTTTATAGCTTCATGCTGAAGAGATTCTTGGCTCTAAGGTCTGGGGCAAAGCTGCATCACGGGTGTTACAGCAGGCTATCACAGGGTATCCGCAGGTCGCGTAGATGAATGAGCCCTTTCCGCGTGAGACCTTCAGCTTGCAGAGCGCGTTCCAGATCCAAACATCGATTCGAAACTCGAGCCATCATCATCTAGTCAGGAAATGATGACCTGAAGTCACGATCGCATCGTAAGGTTGAGCAGGAAGTAGGGCAATCCCAGTATATGCGTAACACGTCGAGCCAGTCGATCTCGATATTGAGCCGGCGCACGCAACCAGCACGCATCTTTAAAGAAGAAGAGTTATAGCTTCTTTATGTATTTAAATAACTATTATACATAAATATTTATGTAAACATCAAACAACCCTTATTGAGAAAATCTTGCAACTTGAACCCAATAAAAGGCGATAGGAATGTGAACTCTATACATCAGGATGTGGAGCTCCAGAGGTCTGGAAGTCATCCTGAAAGGCGGCTCCATCTTCGGAGGTATCGTAGATTCAAAAATAAATGCTATTCAGTCCGGCACCCGCCTCAATTCCTCCCCGGCCGCGCCTCGGCGCTCATCCTCGA